AAGATGGAGTTTATTCAACAAAATCGCTATATGATGGACATGTGAGGCAAATAGATATTTATCGTAGGATTAGCAGCAGAAACTTGAAAGAGGATGATACTGTCTTTCTGGTAGAAGCCATAAAGGAGCCCAGGAGCTGAAAGAAATTTGCAACTTTGTTGTAGGATGTTAACGTTTTTTCGTGTAATAAAGATCAGAGGATTATATTATTATTATTAATATTATTATTATTACGAGGAATAATTAAGCGTCTAGGAGTCATACAATGCCTGATAAACGGGAGGCAATCAGGGTTAATCCAAGAAAGAGGAGAACAGGTCCAAATTCTGCTATCAAGAGCTCTTCAACGGTATCAGAGCACCTTCTTTGATGGAGGTGCCTTGAATTTAATAATTTTTTTCTGATTAGCGTCGACAGCGCTCGTAGAGAGCTTCCCAGATATCAGAGCGGTGCTCTAAGTTGCACTCTGGACCTGTGTAACTTAACCGAGAGGTGGAATCATTCTTTATAGATCTCTCATAAGAGGATACCAGCTATATGATAGGCAACTCCAATGTTAAAAACTGAAAGGTGACTAAGGTTTAGATTTTTTAATATATATATATATATATATATATATATATATATATTATATATATATATATATATATATATATATATACTAGGTAGTAGGTTGGTAGACAGCAGCCGCCCAGGGAGGTACTACTGTCCTGCCAAGTGAATGTAAAACGAAAGCCTGTAATAGTTTTACATGATGGTAGGATTGCTGGTGTCCATTTTTTGTCTCATAAACATGCAAGGTTTCAGGTACGTCTTGCTACTTCTACTTACACTTAGGTCACACTACACATACATGTACAAGTATGTATATATACACACACCCCTCTGGGTTTTCTTCTATTTTCTTACTAGTTCTTGTTCTTGTTTATTTCCTCTTATCTCCATGGGGAAGTGAGACAGAATTCTTCCTCCGTAAGCTATGCATGTTGTAAGAGGCGACTAAAATGCCGGGAGCAAGGGGCTAGTAACCCCTTCTCCTGTATATATTACTAAATTTAAAAAGAGAAACTTTTGTTTTTCTTTTTGGGCCACCCTGCCTTGGTGGGATATGGCCGGTTTGTTGAAAAAAAAAAAAAAAATAAATATATATATATATATATATATATATATATATATAATATATATATATATATATATATATATATATAATATAAAGAGTAATCAACAAAATTTATCTTATTATAATAAGGAAAAAGTATTTTTTATAATTTTGATGAAGTTGCAAGTACGCCAAAGAAAAATGAAATTCAGATAATACGTAAGTGAGCGCAGAGCTCCGTCAGAGACGCCGAAGACTGACCTTAACTGAAGCTGGAAGACCAGAGCAAGATAATACGATCAGTACTAAAGTATATAGTACACAATGAAACAGAGAATGTTATAAAGGAATACAAAAAATAGAATTGGAAGTCAACGAATCCTTGGAAAATGTTATTGTTGTTGTGGAAAGACACAAAACCTGAGGCATCTACGATAAAACACAGATGAATCTGCCAAAGAGCAAGCAAGAAATGAGTTCATGGTAAGAAATATGAAAGTCGAAGAATGGAAGCTTGTAGAGTAAATAGGTTTGCGCCTTGCACTGCCAAAAACCATGAAAATATCTAGGGTTGTGGCAAGTGATTCGTAATTATATAAAATAACTGACCAAACGCTTGCTGGTGGTCAGAGACGAAATTACAGATGTCCAGAGGCTTAAGAAACGCAAGGTGATGGTTGGAAAAATAAGAAAGGTCACCTCTGAGACGAGACGAGGAAAGAGTTTATGAGGATATACAACTGTGAAACAGTCAACCCAGTGTAGATGTAAGTTAGGCATAGGGCTAACCAAGAGAAAAAAAACAGGAATACAGAAAAACAATGATCAAGGTTGGATACCTGCAGGAGACTGCAGCCAGTATCTGAAGGCTTCTTCTCCTTGCAGATTTGCTTCAATTTTTTTTCTATCAAACCATGGGGTTAGAGATGGAAGAAGAAAGTGAAAAATAAAAGAGCTGCTTCTCTCTGGCACTTCTATATCAATCCCGGTGACCTGAGTTCTATGTTTCATATATGGAAAACAATAATCATCGCAAACACACACACAAAGTAAATATTAAAAAAATTAGTCAAATCATTGGAAGGAAAGTATTAAAGCGGTATAGAAACCGGTTGAAAACACGTTCCAAACATATAGATATGAAAATATTTATATTTCCTCCCCCCAAAAAATATTCAAAATTTCTTCGTTAAACCTTCGGCTCACCGCCTGCCAGAGGAGGCAAGCCGAGTGTGAAGCCGTCAGACCCACCTGCCAGGGGATGCCGCCGAAGACGAGTAAAAGACAGTAGTCCATGTAGAGCCCCAGCTGTTCCGTAGGCACGGAGCCTATCCAGTCCCTGTCCGTGTCCGTCACGTCTCCCACTGCTGGGTGGGTCCACGCGAAGGGTATACACAGCCACTGAGAAGCGGGGAAGAAGAAGTTCCTGGTAAGGAAATTTTAGGAGGATGTGGAAGAATGTTCTGTGACGTGGGGGGAAATAATCCACAGGAGAACGGAAATAAAAGTGTTCGTCAGGGAAAGTTACAAGGGCGAGAGAGGTAATGTTCTGTGACAAGAATAGATAAACAGGGAAACAAAGAAGAAATAGGCCCTTGTCAGGGTAAATTAAGTGAGAGCGAGAATGACTGTTCTGTGAGCAGAGTGAGAGAGAGAGAGAGAGAGAGAGAGAGAGAGAGAGAGAGAGAGAGAGAGGAGAGAGAGAGAGAGAGGTGGAAATTTAGGAGATGGGTCGGAGCTTTAGTGTTGGATTAAGTTTAGAACATAAGCGGTGATATTACCCGGGAGAGATGACGTGCTTAGAATGAGTCGTGCCCTCTGATGAAGAGACAGTGAACGTGAGAGAAGACGTATACATGAAGGGACCACAGGGAGAGACTGCACGAGAAAAAAAAAACACAAGGAGAACCACAGGGAATGACCACAGGAAAGGCACATGGAGGTCCCACAGGGAAGACATGCTGTATTAGGGTATTAGGACAGTGGGGGATAAGCTTCCTCAGACATCTTAACATATATTTTCTCAGGAAGAATTGCATTTTTATCCACCTCCTCCGTCTCCTCCCTGGAGTAAATGACTCAAAAAAAGAACCAGTCGATACAGGATGATCTTCAAAAAGATTCTTTTCCAGTTTACCTTCTTCCCTAACACCCGATCATACAACCACCTTCCCTAACAACCGATCATACCACCACCTTCCCTAACACCCGATCATACAACCACCTTCCCTAACAACCGATCATACCACCACCTTCCCTAACACCCGATCATACCACCACCTTCCCTAACACCCGATCATACCACTACCTTCCCTAACACCCGATCATACCACCACCTTCCCTAACACCCGATCATACCACCACCTTCCCTAACACCCGATCATACCACCTTCTTCCCTAACACCCGATCATACAACCACCTTCCCTAACACCCGATCATACCACTACCTTCCCTAACACCCGATCATACCACCACCTTCCTTAACACCCGATCATACCACCACCTTCCCTAACACCCGATCATACCACCTTCTTCCCTAACACCCGATCATACCACCTTCTTCCCTAACACCCGATCATACCACCTTCTTCCCTAACACCCGATCATACCACCTTCTTCCCTAACACCCGATCATACCACCTTCTTCCCTAACACCCGATCATACCACCTTCTTCCCTAACACCCGATCATACCACCATCTTCCCTAACACCCGATCATACCACCTTCCCTAACACCCGATCATACCACCACCTTCCCTAACACCCGATCATACCACCTTCTTCCCTAACACTCGATCATACCACCACCTTCCCTAACACCCGAACAATACCACCACCTTCCCTAACACCCGATCATACCACCACCTTCCCTAACACCCGATCATACCACCTTCTTCCCTAACACCAGATCATACCACCATCTTCCCTAACACCCGATCATACCACCACCTTCCCTAACACCCGATCATACCACCACCTTCCCTAACACCCGATCATACCACCTTCTTCCCTAACACCCGATCATACCACCACCTTCCCTAACACCCGATCATACCACTACCTTTCCCTAACACCCGATCATACCACCACCTTCCTTAACACCCGATCATACCACCACCTTCCCTAACACCCGATCATACCACCTTCTTCCCTAACACCCGATCATACCACCTCTTCCCAACACCCGATCATACCACCTTCTTCCCTAACACCCGATCATACCACCTTCTTCCCTAACACCCGATCATACCACCACCTTCCCTAACACCCGATCATACCACCTTCTTCCCTAACACTCGATCATACCACCACCTTCCCTAACACCCGAACATACCACCACCTTCCCTAACACCCGATCATACCACCACCTTCCCTAACACCCGATCATACCACCTTCTTCCCTAACACCCGATCATACCACCATCTTCCTAACACCCGATCATACCACCACCTTCCCTAACACCCGATCATACCACCACATTCCCTAACACCCCGATCATACCACCTTCTTCCCTAACACCCGATCATACCACCACCTTCCCTAACACACCGATCATACCACTACCTTCCCTAACACCCGATCATACCACCACCTTCCTTAACACCCGATCATACCACCACCTTCCCTAACACCCGATCATACCACCTTCTTCCCTAACACCCGATCATACCACCTTCTTCCCTAACACCCGATCATACCACCTTCTTCCCTAACACCCGATCATACCACCTTCTTCCCTAACAACCCGATCATACCACCTTCTTCCCTAACACCCGATCATACCACCTTCTTCCCTAACCCCGATCATACCACCATCTTCCCTAACACCCGATCATACCACCACCTTCCCTTACACCCGATCATACCACCACCTTCCCTAACACCCGATCATACCACCTTCTTCCCTAACACTCGATCATACCACCACCTTCCCTAACACCCGAACATACCACCACCTTCCCTAACACCCGATCATACCACCACCTTCCCTAACACCCGATCATACCACCTTCTTCCCTAACACCCGATCATACCACCATCTTCCCTAACACCCGATCATACCACCACCTTCCCTAACACCCGATCATACCACCACCTTCCTAACACCCGATCATACCACCTTCTTCCCTAACACCCGATCATACCACCACCTTCCCTAACACCCGATCATACCACCACCTTCCCTAACACCCGATCATACCACCATCTTCCCTAAAACCCGATCATACCACCACCTTCCCTAAAACCCGATCATACCACCTTCTTCCCTAACACCCGATCATACCACTTCTTCCCTAACACCCGATCATACCACCTTCTTCCCTAACACCCGATCATACCACTACCTTCCCTAACACCCGATCATACCACCACCTTCCCTAACACCCGATAATTCCACTACCTTCCCTAACACCCTATCATACACCTTCTTCCCTAACACCCGATCATACCACCACCTTCCCTAACACCCGATCATACCACCACCTTCCCTAACCACCCCGATCATACCACCTTCTTCCCTAACACCCGATCATGCCACCACCTTCTCTAACACCCGATCATGCCACCACTTTCCCTAACACCCGATCATACCACCACCTTCCCTAACAACCGATCATTCCACCTTCTTCCCTAACACCCGATCATACCACCACTTTCCCTAACAACCGATCATACCACCTTCTTCCCTAACACCCGATCATGCCACCACTTTCCCTAACACCCGATCATACCACCACCTTCCCTAACAACCGATCATACCACCTTCTTCTCTAACACCCGATCATACCACCACCTTCCCTAACAACCGATCATACCACCTTCTTCCCTAACACCCGATCATGCCACCACTTTCCCTAACACCCGATCATGCCACCACTTTCCCTAACACCCGATCATGCCACCACTTTCCCTAACAACCGATCATACCACCTTCTTCCCTAACAACCGATCATACCACCTTCTTCCCTAACACCCGATCATGCCACCACTTTCCCTAACACTCGATCATATCACCACTTTCCCTAACAACCGATCATACCACCACTTTCCCTAACAACTGATCATACCACCTTCTTCCCTAACTCCCGATTATACCACCACCTTCATTAACACCCGATCATACCACCACCTTCCATAACACCCGATCATACCACCTTCTTCCCTAACACCCGATCATTCCACCTTCTTCCCTAACACCCGATTTACCACCATCTTCCCTAGCACCCGATCATACCACCTTCCCCCTAACACCTGATCATACCACCTTCCCCCCTAACACCCGATCATACCACCCCCTACTGTAACACGGGATCCAACTCCCCTACGCTGACTCTCGCTCCCAGACATGCTCAGCCATATATCTCAGCTGTTCTCTTCACAATCTTCCGAGGAATGAACGAAGTTGTTGGATCAGTGTTGACAAGTCCCAGTTGCAACACACACAGTTGCAACACACACAGTTGCAACACACACAGTTGCAACACACACACTTGCAACACACACACACTTGCTATATATATTTATGGGTCATGAATTTGAAATATACTACAAATACTATTTCAGAATATAAGAATGTCAAGATAAAGCATTTAAAATCCCCGTATATGAAATATTGAGAAGATTAATTTGTTAAACATGATACTAAACTATTGGGTTCTTTTATTGTCCTGCTGGATAATTAGATTGGCGTTTTTATTCTGAGGTGTGTAGTTACACAGCGTTGTGTGTAGTTACACTGTGTTGTGTGTAGTTACACAGCGTCGTGTGTAGTTACACAGCGTTGTGTGTAGTTACACAGCGTTGTGTGTAGTTACACAGCGTCGTGTATAGTTACACAGCGTCGTGTGTAGTTACACAGCGTCGTTTGTAGTTACACAGCGTCGTGTGTAGTTACACAGCGTCGTGTGTAGTTACACAGCGTCGTGTGTAGTTACGCAGCGTCGTGTGTAGTTACGCAGCGTCGTGTGTAGTTACGCAGCGTCGTGTGTAGTTACACAGCGTCGTTTGTAGTTACACAGCGTCATGTGTAGTTACACAGCGTCGTTTGTAGTTACACAGCGTCATGTGTAGTTACACAGCGTCGTTTGTAGTTATAGAGAAGATATGAACAATTTTGAGTTGATAATTACTAATGGTGTGTGTGTGTGTGTGTGTATGTGTGCGTGTGTGTGTGTGCGTGTGTCGTGTGGGGTTGTGTGTGTGTGTGTGTGTGTGTGTGTGTGCGTGTGTGTGTGTGTGTGTGTGTGTGTGTGTGTGTGTGTGTGTGTGTGTGCGTGTGTGTGTGTGTGTGTGTGTGTGTGTGTGTGTGTGCGTGTGTGTGTGTGTGTGTGTGCGTGTGTGTGTGTGTGTGTTCGTGACCTAAGTTTGTTTCTCGTTTTGTTTATTCCAGAGGCTGGA